TGCTCTGGGCGCCCTTGGTGGACGCCGTCTACCTGCGGCGCTTCGGGCGCCGCAAGTCCTGGCTGGTGCCCACGCAGTACGTCCTGGGGCTCTTCATGCTCTACCTGTCCACGCGGGTGGACCTGCTGCTGGGCGACGGCGAGGGCCGCGGCCCCGACGTGGTGGCCCTCACCGTGGCTTTCTTCCTCTTCGAGTTCCTGGCGGCCACGCAGGACATCGCGGTGGACGGCTGGGCCCTGACCATGCTGTCGCGGGAGAACGTGGGCTACGCTTCCACCTGCAACTCCGTGGGGCAGACGGCCGGCTACTTCCTGGGCAACGTCCTCTTCCTCGCCCTCGAGTCGGCCTCCTTCTGCAACAAGTACCTGCGCTTCCAGCCCCAGCCCCGAGGAATCGTCACCCTCGCAGGTACTGCCGGCCTGGCACCGTTTCTGGGTGTAACTTCAAAGCGGCCGTAGTTAATAATGAAGAGAATTCTCATGTTTTTAGCTTATTTTTTCCATCCATATTTCAGTTCCTCTGCCTGTATCACATAAGAAAAAGGGCATGCCAAAATTGAGTTGAATTGAGATGTAAAAGCTAACTTGCTCTTGCCTGCCCTGTACCTATTTTGTTGATAAATGAGGGCTTGAGTTTCCAAGACTGTTGTATTTATTTCATCTGTGCAGCTACTACAGTTGCGAACTAGCCCTTCTCTCTTTTCTTCCTGTTAATAATCCTGTGTCTCGTCTGTATGTCAACAAGCATGGAGCGGTCCCCAAACATAACCCTGCTGGTTTATTGCTTTGTTTCCTTTGCTTTCCCCTAAAGTGTAGTTCATCAGTGCTGGCTTGTCTCTCCCTCTTGCTGCAGTGGCAGACTGACCTCTTTCACTGCTGCAATTTGCTGCTCATTAGTGTATTTAAGAGAACTTGCTTCACTTAGCTCCACTGCTCAGGTTGCCCCTGCCCCTCCCCCCCTTTAAAATTTATTTATCAGTACTATTAGTGTAAATGCATCTGTTGCTACTACAACAACTTTTTTTATCTTAAAAAAAAAAAAAAAAACAATGTAACCTATTTAACTTGTTTTGGAATACTATCCTGAGTGGAGTAAGAAAAGCAAACAACTGACACTGCAGTTGCAGGATATGAGTTTTTCTGGGTAGCAAAAGCTGGCTTTGGGAACTTCTGCTCCCCTCTCCGCTTGGTCATATGCCACGATTCACTGTGCCTACTTGTGTCCTGAATCAGCTGTGGAGCGGTACTGTAAAATTATCTCACTGAAATGACAATGTCTTGTCCTAGTGCTGGTTGTCCTCAGAGCTCATGGTGAGCTGGTTCAGGCATATTAAAGCAGGAGACTAACAATGTGAAAAGGTGAGCCTTTTTCTGCCAGTGTAGCTCTCTGAACCCTTTCATCATGCGCTGAGTGCCAGTGCTAGAGAAAGAGTAAGTCAAAACCTCATGATCCCAAGTCAGCTTAAAGTTGTTGAGAAGTAGCAACGTTAGCTTTTTCTGTAGAACTTGGGAAATAATATGAACAAATGTAAAACCATTATTCAAAACAAATTCCGTGTTATGTTATTTCAAGCTAAAGTTCTAGTGGAAAAAGAATGAGAAATACATTCATTGGGCTTATAGTTTGTGCTAGTACGTATAAGAGTTTTTTTTCTTGCCTTGCTGTGTAAATGAGCGGGTTTTTTCTGTTTAAGTTGCTGGCTGGGCTGGTTGGTTCCTATCCAGTTTGTCCTGCAGTCACATGAATGCAAATTCTGGCATGAAGGAAGTAGAGGTAAAGTGTGAATGCAGAAAGAAGATGCCAGCCCCTTTCAAGACAGAGTGCTCTCCTCTCCTGGGAGGAGATGTGTGGCTGTAGCATTACTAAAGCTGAAGCACTAAAATAACCCACACGCACGCATACACCTCTTCCCTGGTTATTTTCCAGCCTAGTCTTATTCCTGATCTAGTCCAAAGGCTTACTTTGCTCCAGCATGCTGGTTTGTGCAGCTGGTAATAGCAGAGAGGCAGAGGTGATATGGAGATAGGGGAGCGGGCAGCAATGGTGGCACCAGAAACTGTTTGTGCTAGAAATTCCTTGTGTAAACTATAAACTTCTTTTGCTAGTAGATTGTTAGTGGACTCTTGTTCTGTGTTTGGATGGAAGCGTATGTTATTTTTATATAAATTGTTTAAAGCTAAAAAAAATCAAGAGTTTTCTTTTAAGTGGACTCTCTTTGTTTGCAGTCTGTCTTGGCTAATCCAGCCATTACTGTATTGCAGACTGACAGGGCTGAGCTGATTAGAAATATTCATGTGATGATGCTCAAAGCTATTTCTATCACAATCATAGCACCATTGGTTTATCTCTGCAACAGTAATGCTTAGTGCTATTAATACAGTGCAGCTCCTGTCTATGTTGTGTAATTGTGATTAGCATGGCTCTCTGAAAGTGATGCCTTACTTCTGAAAGATAGATTCAAGGTTTCTAATTTTTTCCTAAGAGGAGGAGAGCAATCTGATAGCACTGGTGTCATGATCATCTTGTCTTTAAAATACTTTGGAAAAGTGATTGGGAAGCAACAGAAAATAGTCTGAAATGCTGTTCATTCTTTCACATTGAGAACGCTAAACAATTGCTCAAGTAGTCTTTCCATGTTGCGCTTGTCCTGTTTCTGCAAATAAGCTAATAATTGACTAAACCATTATCTTTGCCCTTTCATCAGCTTTTGCTGCTTACTTTCTGTTGTCTTGAGGTTTCTGGAGTTGCTTATGATCAAGAACATAAAAGATTACTTCTGTCTTACCCTCTCCATGTTACTGAGGTCTTTCTTACTCTTTCATAGAGGTAGGGGTTAGGATTATCTTTAATTCATTCACTGATTCAGAAAGTACTTGCCATGAAATACTGGTGTATGTCTTGCTGCTGCTGACTCCAAACCCAATATGTAGCAAATATTATGTCTACTTAAAATATGGCATTTAAGTGGATTTCTATTTGCGAACTTTTCAAACAGACATACTTGAGTGTTTCCTACAGAGCTGTCAAGTAAAGAATCAATGTCATTCATCAGAATGTCTTTAGGCTCATGAGTATAAATCTTTGTTGCCTTTGGATGGTAGATGAATACTATTTTGTGAGTGTAGAATTGAGGCACAGAACAGTTAATGTGACTGGTTGGAGAGCTGTGAATGCCTTCTTTCTCCAAAGTTCTTCCCACTCTGTCTTTTAACTACTAAACTTTTTTTTTTCCCCATTATCAGCTTTTAGTGGATGTAACTTCGCAAAACTTTCATTTCTATGCCTATTTCCTCCTCCAACGTGCTCATTGTAATAATGTACAAAACATTAGGGAACTGGCCAAGTCTGCTGCTGTTCTTCTGTGTAAGTTTTTGAGGAAACATATGAGGCTTGGAAAAGCTGTGTCAGTTACTGTATGTAGCTCTGTATGTGTCTGTGTGTGTTGGTTTTATCTGTTTTCAGGAAAGTCAATGAGTAATTTTTTTTATTTAATTTTGATTGCTAGGCTGTGGGCTTATATTGTTGCAAAATAAGTGCATTTCAGGATATTCAGTAAACTTTTAACAAAATGTTGATAGTGGTTGTTAATTTCTTTTTCTCACAGATTTCCTTTTTTTCTGGGGAGCTGTCTTTTTAATTACCACTACACTGGTTGCCCTTTTGAAAAAGGAAAACAAAGAATTAATGCCAACAAAAGAAGAGACAAAAGGTATCACTGATACGTACAGGCTGCTTTTCTCAATCATCAGGATGCCAGCAGTTCTCACTTTCTGTCTCTTGATTCTTACAGCAAAAGTAAGTAAATACACTTATGAGTTGTTAGCTACTAATGGCAGGAGAGTCTGAAAGAGGGTCCTTGTGATGTAATTTTTTTGCCTTTGTCATGGCTGTCATCAGACTTCCAAACTTTCACCTGAGATTTGGAGACATAATTGCTAGTATCACTGTGCTAAGTAGGGTTGTACAACAGAAAATACTCGTTTGAGCCTTTTTGTGTTAAACATGTTACAGAGAAGCTTGATTGCAGGCTAATGTTAAAATAATGCATGTTAAACATGCATCTCTATATGCAGGCTGTTTGCGTAGTCTGCAGTTAAAAGGATACAAACGGTTTCTTTTACCTGAATCCTATTCCCAGAGTCTGCAAATCTGTGCAAACTAGATTTCCATCGTTTCCTGTTGGCAGTCATGGATACCAATGGGTGTTTAAGGCATGGATATGAATATCATTGCTATGTTTAGTAGTCTTGGTGTAGTTTTGGCACCGATGGTAAAAATAGCGTGCAAGTATAGAACATGCTTCAGGACTGATTTGGAAATATGCTTCAATCATATTTCTCCATGCATTTAATATCAAGTAAACTGAATTGCTAACCGAACCATCACTGCTTTCCCCAGTTTATTTTGTCTAACTTATATTGCAGGTTGGATTTTCAGCAGCAGATGCTGTAACAGGACTCAAATTGGTGGAAGAGGGAGTGCCTAAAGAGCACTTAGCTCTACTAGCAGTTCCAATGGTTCCTTTGCAGATAATATTGCCTCTGATTATCAGCAAATACACAGCAGGCCCCCAGCCACTGAACACCTTTTACAAAGCTATGCCTTTTAGGTAAAAACAACAAACGAGTGTTTTACAAAAGCATAAAGTATTTTGTTTGTTCAGATTAAGTATAGAATTTCTCGTGTAGACTCCTTAACTTCCAGATAGAAGAAGGAGCATGTCGGAATTCTCATGATAAGTTTTAACTCTTTATCATATATCTGGAGGATGATTCCTGTGGGAATGCATGTAAAAAATAGCCGCTTTATATCAAAGTGCAGAAACACATGGGCAACATTGTTTGCCTTACAAATCATTATCTTCCTTATTCCTGCAGGTTACTACTTGGACTGGAATTTGCTTTTTTGGTGTGGTGGACTCCTAAAGTAAAACATGAAGGAGGATTTCCTATATACTACTATGCTGTAGTATTGTTGAGTTATGCTTTACATCAGGTAATGTATACTGCATGTGGGAAGTGGAGGGGAACAGGAAGGTATTTCATGTTAACCAACTGGAGGACAATATATGTTGTAAAATGTTTTTATCGTTAGTTACAGTAGAAGTCTTAAGACTGATCTGTTGTGCCGTATGACTTTCCTCATTTAGTTTTGATCCTCTTGCCAATATAATTTCTCTCTTCAATGTACTCCATTGGGATGTCTTCTGTGAATTTATTGTTAGTTGACCAGATCTGCTTTTACTTCCCCGAAACGAGAAGTGAAAAAGCATGATTGAAATGGAGTCGGAGAAATCCTGGTATTTTGACTTTGAGTTTCATCAGTATGATAATAATGATCATCATAGCTCATGCTGTGGTTTGTGCAGTTCCATAAAGTTAAGTGATCCCGGTCCTAGAAAAATTATTTTATTGACTTTTTGGAACATCATAGTGGACCTGATTCAAGGCCTGATGAACAAAAGCCCAATCCAAACCAGGCTTTGGATCAGAATAAAGAATTATGAAATGCCTTGAAAGTTGGGTTTTTTTTTTTTTTTTTCCTTAATGCAGAAATGTTACATTTATGTAGGTTACTCGGCCTGGCCTTATTGCAATTTAATTTGATAACTTAAGTCACTTCATAGTACCTGAGGCTGGGTCCACTTCAGTACAAGCTGAAACAAATGGCAAGGCTACTTCTTGGTATTGTGTAGAGAGACAGACTATAAAAGTAATTTCTCTATTGCGCAGTTTTAAACTGTTGAGACTATTTTTCAGTTAACTTAGCTAATTCTGAAAACTGTTTTTATGTTAGAGTTTTTAGTTGTTTGTAACTGGGGAAATCTTACTCTCTTGTGGTTTTCTTACCCCTTCCATAGATTACGCTGTATAGCATGTATGTTGCAATAATGGCTTTCAATGCCAAAGTTAGTGATCCACTGATTGGAGGAACCTACATGACACTCCTAAATACTGTGTCGAATCTGGGAGGGAACTGGCCTTCCACTGTTGCACTCTGGCTTGTGGACCCACTCACGGTGAAAGAATGTGTAGGGGCCCAGGAGCAGACCTGTGGAACTACAGTTGCTGCAGATGTAAGTTTGGAGGCTGTGATGGTCTCAGTTCAGTTACTTCTAAATATAATGCCTTCCCCTAATATTTTTCACTTGTGAAAACCTTCATAGTGCATAGCTCATGCTTAAAAATTCCCACTAATTGAGATAATTTTTCTGTCTAATAGAATTGTCTGGTTTTGCTGCATATTTTTAATAGCTAACATTTACCAAAGATCTGTAATTGCAAAAGAGTTGTGTGGCCTGTGCGCCCCCCCCCCCCCATTTTTTTCCTTCCCCTTAGCTGTGATGAAAAGATGGTAGTAGGAGCACTGCACTGGTGCCACATTCTCTGCAGTGTGTGGAGGCTGTAATTATACTCTTGAGTAAACCTTTCTCAGTTCTGAGTTGTGTTATTAGGTGGTCTGTTCTTTGTAGGCTCTGTCCCTGAAGTCCCTAAAGTTTTGTGGTGGTGTGGGTGGTTTATTTTATTTTTTTAATTTTTTTTAGTGGCTTGGGGTTTTTTTGTTTTACTCTTCCTGTCCCTTTCTGAAGGCTTCTATCCTGATACCTTGTGCTTTTCATTGTGACATTACTTTGCTTTCTTTGTCTTTGATCTTCACTGTCGGTATGAAATTGAGCGGTGTGACTGGCTGTGCTCCCAGTTCTGGGGAGCCCTGTGGAAGAGAACAGAGAACGTACTGTGCTACTGTACACAGCTCAAACAACAGGACACACAACTACCTGGAAAGCAAGGTTTCAAATTCACCTCTTTGTGAGAAATTTTAACGCAACTGTCTTGAAGGGTGGAAGTGTTTATTCCTAGCTCATGACTGAGACTTCCCTCTTGAGTGCCTTATGCGTTTACAGGACTCTTTGCGATGGGGAGGTCCTCTAAATACACAAAGTGTTCTAGGAGTCAAATGCGACTTGTTTGAACTGGTGCTGCAGTTTACTACTTGCAAAAGGGAAACTGCTTCTGCCTAATGTGCTTCAGCTGCATGTTTCTTGTTGGCTTGCCACTTATCAGGTTCCTAGCGCCTTGGCTGCTGTTGAGCTTCAGTCCTTCCTTCTTCATTTCACTCCTCCAATCTTTTTTTCACATTCTCCCAGTTTGTAGCATTGTACACACACACAACCCTCCCTGTTCTTGATCTGATCCTGACATGTTTGAAGAAAGAAAATGTTGGCAGAACCTCAGTTCCAAGGTCTACTTTTATCTTGAGAGTATACCAGTGTTGATTAAAAGCTAAACAATAGTAGAAACAATTGCATGTGTACTCATACCCTTTACATGCTTGAGTTCTGCAATTAAAAAATATCCCAGGCATGTTTTTGTTCATGACACGTTCTGTGGCCAGCTAGGCCTCGTATCGTAGTGTCCATTTGCAGGTTCAGTGTGATGAGATGCAGGGGTGTAATTTCTACAAAAACAGTCGGATGGCTAGAGAGCAAATCTTCATGAGCTTAACAGGGGTTGCAGCACCTCTCCAACATAAGACAGCCGGACAGTTGGGCCAATATGCTCCTTTTCCCAAATCTCCTGCAAAGTTTTGTTACTCTTCATACTAATTGTAAGCTTGAGAGCCTCTCTGACTACATAAGAAACAAGGAAGACTAACCAAATAGCTTTAGGCATAACATTTAAAGCTCAAGTTAAAAGCAATGAGTATCCTAACACGTACTTCTAGAAAGTATATGTTTCAATGTCTCCCAGAAAATACTTAATGTATTGACTCTTCAACAAATATCCTGCTTCTGTGTTTCAGCTCTGCACAAAAGCTGGTGGTTCCTGTGTTACTACCTTGGACGGTTACTACGTGGAGTCTGTCATATGTGTCATTCTGGGATTTGGCTGGTGGTTCCTACTTGGGCCAAAATTTAAAAAGCTACAAGACGAAGAACAGTCTTCATGGAAGTGCAGGAGGACCAACTGATGCAATTTAAATACTGGATGGACTAGCAAGGTCATTTTAGTTTTATTACAAAGACATATCCCATAATCAATAAACAGGAATATAGGTATTTTTAAATGCCAAGTTGCTGAAAAATGGGTGGCTGAGACAGTGGTGTGTGTACCACTTGCCTTCCCAGTATGAAAATGTAAGTTCAGAAGGTAATTATGAAAAGAGTGGCACCTATGTACTGCATAATGCCCGTGCTCTAGCTTCAGAGTCATGGTTGCTGATACAACCAACATCAGGATTTCCATAGAGTAACTATGGAGGAGTTAGTTGTGCCATATATATATAAACAGCAGCATTGTCAGCTAAGTTCCAGCTCAAAGAGAAGTGATCTGGCACGGTGTGGTGACCTGGGGAAGGACGTCAGAGGCATTTTGACTTACAGGTTAAGCATGTTATAATACAGGATTCATTGTGAGAAGATAAAGTATCTGTGGCTTTTTTCTTCTCACTTCATGAACTGTAAACACGCTTCAAAGGATGAAATAATGTTTCAAGATTATTTTAAATGTATTTTCTGGCTTTTATAAGCTTTAAAGATTTATAAAAAAATATTTTTATAAACAAAATTACACTTAATTTATTTCCTCTGTTTCAAAGCATTTTGAATTACCTTCAGGATAAAACCTTGAAGAAAAACTGATGTAGGATAGGACTTAAATTAAGAGTAACGCACAATACTCTGAGCCTCGAGTCCTGAGGAGGTGAACTGGGTAGAGTAGTAGCTAGCGTACAAAACACTGGCTTCAGAAAGAGTGAGCATGCAGTCCTCCTGGAGGCACTTGTTATTTTGAGGGCATGAAGCGATAGTGTTTGTTTCTGTATGTCATTAACATTTGAACATTTAAATTAAAGATGAATGAAAAAAAGGTGTATATTCCAAGCTAGGGGTAAGAAAAGATGACCAGTGCCTTGGGCAGTAATTTGGTGATGACAGACTTGTACACCAACTCACTGGGCATTTGGCAACTTATTGCTATGTGAAGCAAACAAACTACATCCTGTGGCAGAGCTGCTACAGAAATTCATTCCTGATGCTGTATAGTGGAAACTTTCCTGTTGCGTTTATCAAAAATGACTTCCCTCCTGAGTGCCTTAGTGATGTACAGCATACTGTACACCTAGAGAAAGGGCACTTGTATATTCTGTTGGATGGTATAGTACATCTTTACCAAAAAAAAAAAAAAGAAACCTTGAAAAGGTAGGAATAACATTAATTTCCTTTCTCTAGTTCTTTCCTTGACAATATTGAAAGTATTCCATCCTGAGCTTTATGTTCCAAACTGTGTGTGGGGGGGGGGAGGGTCTTTTGTTAGTGTATATTTTAAAAAGAAGTAAAGTGGTAATAACTTGTGACTACCTGGAGGAGATATATGGGTGTATACAAAGTGTCTACATGACTTAGGGGGTAAGGTGTCTGGAAAAGAACAGTATGATTGAGTACTTGTTTGAGTACCAAGGACTGTTCCTCTTCTTCCTCTTTCTCCTCTCACAACTGCACCCTGAAAGCAAAACTCTGAGCTGCAGATTTCCCCAGCTGTGATCTGTGGTCCAGAGTAGCAACTTTTTTTTTGGTCTAGCAGGATTAAAAAAAAACAAGCTAGCTAAAAACAGTTCTCACACTGAGCGTTTTTACTCCCCAAACTACAAGCCATCTTCCAATTCAATTATTTCTGTCCTCTGGATAAGTACAGAAAGAATATTTCAAAAATTTGTAGTTGAACATAGATAGATGTTTTCAGTCATTGCCAGATCATCTCCACTGGATTAAGTATGTATATTACACTTAACTTCTGTGACTTTGTTGTAACCACCTGCCACTTATTTTAATAGGATCTTGTCCACACTTAGAAATTTTTTGACTTTGACTTCAGGGAAAAACTTAGACTGCAGAATGTGGGAAACCAAATTCATAGATGTTTTACAGTTGGCTTTTACTTTGTATTTTTGTTTTACTGTTTCTGAATGTGCCAACGTGACCTGTTATTAAGTAAAAAATGCATTTAGAGTTGCTTGCTACATCAGGTGAATTTGGCAATATCAAAATTAAATCCAAAATCATAAATTGTACAACTGTCTCCTCTTTCAAACTGGAGAGACTTAGTTTTTAATCTATCAGTATTGCTATTTTATAACACAATTGAGAAATGCTACAACTATACCAGCAGCTTGCTAAAATGAACCCATTAACTTTGTCCTTTTTTTCCACTCACCCTATTTTTTAAAGTGAAATGATTTCCCTTTTTGAAAGGTTGGGATTGTTGTCGACTAGAGTGTTTTTTTAACATCAAAAAAACTTAATATCTAGTTTAACAACTTAATATCTAGTTTAACAGTCTGCTATTAAAATAAGAACTGGAGAAAATGAATCATGCTAGTAAGTACTGCTGTAGCTTGTTTAATTACTATGGGGACTTTGTGGCCCTGAATGAACATCGACTTCTCCCCCATATGTTTAGAGAACGGGGGACTTCAGGAGCGCATAATACTTAAGTGTTTATGTAGCCAAGTTCCTTTTCTGATTTTGGTTCAGCATCGGGGTGCAGCTTAGTGCTCTAGCTCTGCTCTTATAATAGCTAACCACTGCTGAGCTGTGGTCCTGCTGCCCTCTGCTCCCTGGCCATGTCCTCCATCGATGTAACCTCCTGACCTGGCCCACTGTCAGATGTGTGTCACTGCTGGAAAAAGGGAAGTGGTAGAAATTGCCTTTTTTTTTTTTCTTCTCCTTACGTAAAGGGTTTTTCCTGGTCTAAATTCCTGAGCCAGGGTCATTGTGGAGTGAGACAAATCCCAGGGGCGAGGGTGGCGATGTGCGGCTGGGTGCCGTGCCGCAGGGCATGGGGAGGAGAGTTAGAAAACGGCTTCCCCCTTTCAGTGCCCATTGGACTTGGCTGTAATGTTATGCTGGACTTCTCATGCACAAAAGTCATCAGGCCTGCTGTTTGGAACGTGTTTTGTTGGTGTTTCCCAGGACTTGCTTAAGAGGCAAGTACTGCTTCTCCAAAAACTCAGCGCTGTGATTACAGCGCCCAGAAAGGGTGTGTGCAAGGCAAAGTTTATAAGGGCTGACAGGTTATGTCTAATGAAATTACACAGCTGCTACTGCTGCTACCTACCTCCTGCGTCCCTGTGAGGAAGCCGCTGAGGACTGCCCGGGCCGGGGAGGAGCACGCTCGTCCTACATCTTAGGAACACTGGTGCTGTCAATCTGATGTCCATTGCAACATCCTAAAATTCTTATTTTAAAATACTAGCTATATGTTTTGTCTTTGTTACAGACATTGGAATATGTACCAGTGCTAATTGTCAACTGTTCTTGATTTTTCCATAAGGTTGTTGTTTCATTGTGCTCTAATGTTTTTTTTCAATGTAATTTTACATGATTATAAACACTATTTTAAACTGACTAATAAGAGATGATGTTCAGATGATCTTTCTGATTTGATGAAATAGGAAAGAGTAGAGAATTTTGTCACTGGATAGATATTTTGGGGTGCACGGTTAGACTGCGGAGCCCCTTTATGAGCAGGGCTTGGAGTACCTGGGACCCAGCAGGAA